CGCTCTTCGCTGCACACAACTGAGGGAGTCCTGCACTTTCCGTCTTTGACGACATAAAAAAAAATGCGCATACCGCAGGAACGGTATAACGGAAAATTTTAGTGGTATTGAAACCGTGAATTTTCCAAACCGCGGTATACTTTGAAACCGGTTATCGTCCCATGCCTAGTGTGAATGTAATTTAGACTGAGACAGTATCACAAATAAAAAGAGGGTTGAGTCCTCTTTAAAGTTCAGGTACAAGTCAATTCACTGACTTCTTTCTCATTTAAGTTTTCTTAGTTAAGAACATGGGTTGGAGCTCTTAATTTTGAACTCTCTCGCACCAACCGGAGGGGGAGGGGTCGTGTGACTCGCTACGTTCTTCGCTGCACACAACTGAGGGAGTCCTGCACTTTCAGTCTTTGACGACACTTAAAAAAACTGCGCATACCGCAGGAACGGTATAACGGGAAATTTTTGTGGTTTTGAAACTGTGACTTTTCCAAACCGTGGTATACCTTGAAACCGGTTATCGTCCCATGCCTAGCTACAATTGTCTTCAGCATTGTGTGTCTGCTCCAAAAGCTGATCTGTGATGTGTATTTAATCCATCAAATTTTATATTAAGAATGTAGCTCAACTACGCAAAAACCCACTAGTTACTGCACATGTAAACCTACTTGAGGCATTGTTTGAAACTGCATTAAAAAAAAAAAAAGTAATATTACCCACCTTGGAAGACTTCCTTCGGCTCCTGCGTGTCCAGACAACAACTAGCTTGTCCGGTTGCCTAATAAAAAGAACACAAGAGAAAAAAAATTCAACAAGCACTAATGAAGTATTTAACAAGCACATTATCTAAAAGAAACACTACCAGAGCTTCAGATTTCAGTTCTGCTGTGAACAAGCTACAGCAAATTTGAGTCTGAATCACTTGTGTCCCAACATAGAACAAGATCAGATGAGAAATGAGAGAGAAAGATGCTGACCAGCCTTCTCAAGAAAGAGCTCAAAGTCAATCAATTCATACCCATATCACACAGCCTAGCCCAGCAGCAAACAAACTCACTGCTTTTCAGAGGCCAGTGTGTGTGCGCTAGATGAATGTGTTAATGGAGTTCAATTCATCCCTCACACTAAAGCACAAATACACCTTACGGTACAACATTCACAATACACACTCACGATTCGAACGATCAAAAGGTTTACAGATAAACAAACTATTAGACTAGAAGGAGAAAAAGGTTTCAGCACATCTGAGCAGGGCTGAGAGAGAGAACACACACACAGGAACCAGGACTCGCAATCTTGAATTGGATTACCAGCAGTAAGAGGCTTGACCGCATTCTGACAGGTGTGCGTTTATGCATGTGTGGTGTATGTGTCTCATTTTCAGAAACATTACTGTCCTCATCTAAACCATTCCAAACATGATAGAGCAGACAGAAGGCTGATCTATGCCCATCTAAGGCATCTCCTGCTGAGTGTCTGGATTATTCTAGATTACTATACATATCAGTTTCCCAGGAACAGAGAAACGTCAGTACTCCTAAAAAAATGATTTTCTGTGGAGAATCAACAATGATAGAGCATTTCAAACAATGACTAGACTTAAAAAGTGTCTGGGAAACCAGCAAGAGAGCATCACAGAAACCATGCACAGATGCTCCATTGTGTCTCTCTACATTTCTAGAACACACTCACATTCCCTCCTGCCCTACAGCATCATGCTGTGTTTGACATGGAGCACAGAAAACAATCTGTTTTCAGTCATCTCTCGCTCTGAAATACCAAAACTCTTTCTATTTCCATTCCTACTTGGACTTGTGTGTTTTCTCTAGGCTAGTTGACATGCACTACTGCAGTTCTCTCTTTTCACATGATCTTATTAAAGTTTTACAAAATGGCTTTATGTTTCCTCATGGATGTGTCACAATGTTTTTGAAAGAAATTTTATTCAGCAAGGATGCATAAATTGATCAAAAGTGACAGTAAAAACATTTATAATGTTTCAAAATATTTCCATTTCAAATAATCGCTGTTCTTTTAAATACTTCCTATTCATCAAAGAGTCGTGAAAAATATGTACGATTATATAATATGTATCAATGTATCATTATGTAATACTAATGTGTATTATTCTAATAAATTTGTTTTAATTAAAAAAAGTAAAAAATTAAATACAAGTATATAAATATAAAAGTTTAATAATTTGACATAAAACATGACACTAATAAGGTATAAAAAAGACCTTACAAAGGTTTATTTAAAGGTGACATATCATGAAAATCTGACTTTTCCAGGTTTTAAGTGCTATAAAAAAAAATAATAATAAATAAATAAATAAATTGAGTGCGATGGTGCCGCAGACGGCAGCCTCAGTGTTTGGCTCTCCAGTGTTTGTACTGTTTTTGTTAGTTTTTCCTGTTTTTTGTTTCTCAAACACGATCACTTTTACCGGGGATGAGCTGCTGAATATTCGGCAGAACACACCACACAATCTTCTACCGGATTTCGTTTTTTCGGACGTTTTGCTGAACGTTGTAGTTGGCGGAGCAGCTGCGCTGATCAAGCGCTTCAGGACGTGCAGACGGGGGAAGCGAGCCGGCGCACTCGTGAAGCTCAGGAAGCGCGGATTCAGAACGGCGCTGCCTAGCATCCATCTGGCGAATCTCCGCTCTCTACCCAATAAAACAGACGAACTTCTGCTCTCCCGGACAAATAAGGATTTTTCACACTCTGCTGCTCTGTGTTTCACAGAAACCTGGCTGAATGACGCCATACGCCAGCGCGGTTAAATCTGCCGGGCTTTCAGCTGTTCAGAGCGGACCGCGACGCAGAATCAACGGG